TGCTCAGGGACACACCAGCCACTTGGGGCTAAGTGGCTATACACCATTGCTTTCCTGTCTGCATGTCCATGACCCATGGTGGCTGGCGCATGGGCACTGGCAGGTGCGAGTTAGTGCACAGATGTCCCCTCTGGGGCTGGGTGGGGTTAGGGTAAAACGTAGGCAGGGTGGGCTTGGCAGAGGAGGGACAGCAAGGATCAGCCCAGCAGGCCCTCCCCTGTCCCTTGCCCCTCCATGAGAAGCCTCGGCTCTCTCTGACTCACCTTGTCCCATCCAGCCGGCAGAACCACCTGCCAGCGTGAGACCTGCGAGTGTGACAGGAGGGCTGCACTCTGCTTCCGCCACAACCTTGGCACCTACAACCGCAGATACGCCCATTACCCCAACAGGCTGTGCACGGGGCCCACCCCTCCCTGCTGAGGCTGCTGTCCGCCCCTCTCCTGGCTGGCTCAGCCAGGCCACACCTGCTTCTCAGGAGCCCCAGGAGCCAGGGGTCGCTTCCACACCCAGCAGCCTGGAAGCCTCACCTTGGTTCCCGTTTCCCTTGGGAGGAGGATCATGCTCCCGACCCCGACCCTCTGAGCGTTCCCCCGATCTCTGCCCTGTCACTCTAACACTGAGGTTTTCATTTCATGTATTCACTGATTCGTGCATTCATTCGTGCTTTGAGCACCTGCCATGCACCAGCAGGGCACGTGGCCCTGGAGATGTGGGAACACGCCGGATGTGGTGGTCCCTGCCTGCCGCGATCCCAGGACTCCATCACAGTCGGTGTCCGGGGTTCTAGAAAACTTTGCACAATCTGACCCAAGACAACAACGGTAACGGTCAGATGATTTCCGCTGGACATGTGGCTTCGTGTGAGACATGAAATATACCAGCCTGAAAAGACTGCCCTGCCATCATTAACCATCAACTCCCCCAACCTAACATCCACCCTGTCTCCCTTTGCCCCCACTCTGCCCCCTTCCCCCAATGGCTAAGCCTGCCTATGCAAATAAAGCAGCCATGCATTGTCTTCTCTGGAGCCAGGGCTGCAGGTTAGGCGGCTGCCCATGGCACTGCCCCACTTCCCACCCTCAATCCTGCTGACACGCCTGGGAAAGCAGCAGGAATCGGCCCAAGTGCTGGGCCCCTGCCACCCACACCTGAGACCCGATGGGGCTTCTAGCCTGACCCAGCCCTGTTACAGCCATCTGGGAGGTGAACCAGTGGATGAAAGAGAGAGAGAGAGAGAGAGAGAGAGAGAGAGAGAGTGTGTGTGTGTGTGTGTGTGTGTGCGCGCACACGTGTGTGTCCTCTCTAACTCTGAATTTCAAATAAATAAAACTAACCTCAATAAACGGATGAATGCATGAAAATTTTCTCCTCCAAGCCCCCCTTTTTGACAGTCGGGGGCTGGAGAGGGGATTCCCTACTCCCATCATTTCTTCAAGGAGTTGGCACCCTCTGCTGTGGCCACCTGGGATGACCCAAGCGCCCAGGACAGAGCACCTGTGTGGATGCACAGATGGGTCAGGCTCCTCTCTACCTCTGCTTGGTGTTCAAACCCATCAGCCAAAATCACCTGTGCCCAGGCGGGAGAACGGTCCTGGGGCGCCCTCTGGTGGCCACTTTAGTCAGGCTACCAGGAAGAAACAGTTGGGCAGAACGGTGTTCTTGGTGCCCTGACATTTCTGCACCCACAGTTTCAATCAGGAAAACTGCTCGGTGATTCCCCAGAAACCTTACAACCAAACAGGATGCTGGTGCCACATAGAAGTGGGAAACTCAGGAGGGAGCAGTCTACATGGGTGGGACAGAGAGGCCATGCTCCAGGGAGCCTCTAGGTGCATAACAGTATGGCAAAGTGAAAATGGGGACCTAGGAGCCAGACCTGGAGAGCCTGTTGGGACCCTCATCGCCCACCTGAATCACCTGGGAGCCCTCAGGTCTCAGCCCAGCTTGTAGCCTTCATTTTCCTGCCATTCTACAAACGCTGCAAGAATGACCCGGGGGTCTGCCCCAATTCCATCTGGGTGTTTGTCTGTGGCTTCCTGTAGCCAACCTGTGAGATAAAAAAAAAAAGAACAGCAAGCCTGGGAGTCAGCAGCTGCAGGTGCAACTTCTGTCCACTTCTGTAGCAAGCTGTGGGTCTAGCTCACAGCCAGGCTGCCCGGCACGGCCTGTGGGCAGCAGCAGCCACAGCACCCACCTAGTTAGAAAATGCACAACCCAGGCTGTTGGGGCAGAACCTACAGGCAGTAGGACCCCCAGGGTGGGCAAGTTCAAGTCTAGTTGGAGCTGACAGTCAGTGTCCATCTCGGCCTGGCAGGCTGCTGTTAGCAGAAATACTTCCCATCTTTGTTAACAGAATCCAAGAGGCAAACCTCCAGGCCACAGCATTGCCTCCTCAGCTTTGAGAAGACTCTGCCTCATTCTCGCTCATCCATCCATGCATTCATTCATGCATCAAAGACCTTGGAACAGTGCCTGGTCATGTCAGGTGCTTACTGAGTTAACCCTGGCATGTCATCCATTCATGGGTTGTAAATGCTCGTTGTGTGACACATTGGGGTGTACTTGCATACACGCCAGCTGATAGAAACCTTGCCACAGGGGTTAAGATGCCCACGTCCCACATTAGGGTACCAAAGCTTGACTGCTGGTTCCAGCCTCTGGCTCTGCCAATCTGGCCCTCAGGAGGCAGTGGCAGTTCAGGCTGTTGGGTGTGTGCCACCTGGATTGAATCTCTAGCTCCCACTGCACAGAGTGGCAGGGCCAGCAGCTGGCAACCTCAGCAAAGACTGGCCCACCAGAGGCATCTGTGGTGCCCTGGGGCTGTAAGGGGCCCTGGCCACTGAGGACTTGTGGGAAATGAAGCAGCAGGTGGGAGCTCTTTCTGCGCCTCAAATGAAATTAATAAAGCAATAATAAAAGAAAACACAGGCACAGCACGGTAGCCTAGTGGCTAAAGTCCTTGCCTTGCATCTGTCAGGATCCCATAGATGTACTGGTTCATATCCCAGTTGCTCCACTTCCCTTCAGCTCCCTGCTTGTGGCCTGGGAAAGCGGTAGAGGATAGTCCAAAGCCTTGGGACCTTGCAACCATGTGGGAGACTCCGAAGAGGTTCCAGGCTACTGGCTTCAGATCAGCTCAGCTCCGGCGTTGCAGCTGCTTGAGGAGTGAACCAGTGGACAGAAGATCTTTCTCTCTCTATCTCCTCTCTGTATGTCTGTCCAATAAAAAATAAATCCTTAAAAAAAATTTCACCTACCAAGGATATTTCAAAAACAGAAAACATAAGTGGCCGCATATTTGAAACGCTACCCGAAGTAGTAAGCTGGCTGGAAGGACGCTACCACATCTGTTCTGGAAGGTTGTGGCCCTACAATGTCCCCAGTCAGAACGGGTACATTCTGAAGAGGAACTCGGGTTGGACCAGGTACACCTGCCCGGCAGGGGTCACTCAGTGAGCACAGCACTGACCCATGCCTAGCCCCGAGGTCACCTCCACCACCGAGCTCCTTGGTTTTTCTCTGCGCAGGAACAGTCTCTACCCTCAACCAGGAAAATCCTCCATCCCTGCCTCACGCCCATCCGAGCAGACCCATTCTGTCAGCTCAGTCCAAATTACCCTGGAGCGGGACAATTTCTGAGCTGCCTTATAACTCAAGCCGCCCACATGAATACCCCGTTCAGGGAGGAGTGCCTGGGTGACATTAACTCAAGTCTCTGGGTTTTCAACCTGCACAGACATCCAGGAACACGGGCACAGCCACCTGTGCTCTCCTGGCTGCAGGACACCTCTGTCCCTGGGAGACTACACCCACCCCCCAGCTTACACTTCCTCACCGGCCACCTCCCAGGTGCCCGCCCAACAGGCGGCTCTCCCGAGACCCTGGCACAGAACGAAGGCGGCCATAAAAGCTGTCTAGGGGTGCAGCACCTACACCTTGACATCACTTGGTCCCGAGCACCCTGCAAAAAGGCTCATCTGGACGGGGAGGGTCCAGTGACCTTCAGGAAGTAGACAGTGCTGCCCTCAAGTGGCGGGTCTCACAGCTGTGGACTGAAGTTAGCATCGCACATGGAGGGCGGCCTAAGTGACCAGACAACACCCTTCCCAGGAACTGAAATGCTCCTCCTAACAAGCGTGCCATGCCGCCCCCATTTCTGTTTGGAATTAAGGTAACAGGGGGGCTAACAGAGAGGGCCGCTTGTCAAATACAAAATTAAGAACGGAGCAGGAGTATCTGCAGTCAAAATCGCAAGGTCATGCTGAGGCCAGTCCACCACCTCTTAAAAGGCCAGAATCAGGCCCAGTGCGGTAGCCTAGTGGCTAAATCCTTGCCTTGCATGTGCTGGGATCCCATATGGGCATCAGTTCATGTCTTGGCTGCTCCACTTCCTATCCAGCTCCCTGCCAGTGGTCTGGGAAAGCAGTAAGGGACAGGCCAAAGCCTTGGGACCCTGCACCTGTGTAAGAAACCAGAAAGATGTTCCTGACTCCTGGCTTTGGATCGGCTCAGCTCTGGCCGTTGCAGCCAACTGGGGAGTGAACCAGTGCACAGAAGATTTTTCTGTCCTTATCTCTGTAAATCTGACTTTCCAATTAAAAACAACAACAAAAATAAATCTATGTGGCCTGCCTGGCTCCTGCGGGCTGCCTTCCTGCCTCCGGTTCTGCGGTCACCACTACCCTGTCTGTCCTTCGGCAGCCAGTGGTCTGTGCTCCAGTCACTGCTGTCCAGTGTCACTCCAGAGTGGGGTCAGGTCAACGCTCAGGACTCCGACGACTCCCAAGCGCTCAAAGACGCCCTCGGGCCCCAGGGGCCACCCTCACTGCAGCCGGTCCCATGACCACAGCAGCAGAGCGCCACTTGGACAGCTCCCGGGCCACAACCTCTCGAAAGGACATGTCACGGTTCACAGCCGAGGCCTCTCACCCTCCCAAGCTGCGGGCGTGATTTAGACACACACACACTCACAAATAATTAAAAAAAAGACTGCTTGAAACTTTGTCTTTAAACTAGAATTTATTGGTATACAAAATTCCATTTCATAGATAAAGTGGCACATCTTTGCAGCTTCTATTGCACCAAGTATTAAAGATTAAAAACACAAAAAAGGAACATTTGGTTTTGAAAACACTGCAAATAGCCAAGTACAGTACTTTAGTAAACAAAACATGAGATGGTTCAGATGAACAGACCTGTGGCGGCCACCAAGGGGAACTACACGAGGGACGTTGCTGGCCGCCTGTCACCACAGAGAAGGCGGAGCTGCCACGCTGACAAATCACGGCCCACAGAGCTCTACAGAGTCTCGGACTGCAGCGGGAACAAGGACAGCGCCAGGAGCCAGGGGAGAGGGCAGCTGCCTGCTCCACGGTGGCCCCTGCGACCCCGCAAGGGGCTCCCACCACGAGCAGTGTGGCGAGGGGCGCAGGGAGGGAGTGGGAAGATGTGAAAACCCTCAGGGCAGCACAGCTCAAGTTCCAGGAGAGGGGCCCAACACAGGCCCACACCTGAGGGTGCGCTGGGACTAGCTCAAGTGATTGTCATGGACGGCTGGACAGTGGCGGGCAGAGCCAGGTCCCAGGGGTGCTGTCCGGTGACCCTGACCTTCAGTGAACAGCAGCAGTTCTGCTTGATGGGTGTGCCCATTCTTCACACTGGTACTGGCCCCTTCTCCAGGAATGACAGGGAAACCTGACATTTTATTCAAACCACAAAGTAGGACGGTTACAAAGACTGGAAACTAACTACTTTGAAGAAACCGAGAGCCTGAGGTTCTAAATGGGAATCCCACCTGAGACAGGGTAGGGCCAAGGCCAAGGCCACATACAAGGCAGGCTTGCGGTGGCCCGGCCTGTGCACACAAGCCACACTACAACCTCCACTTTTCAAGTGTCGGGGACTTGGGGATTGTCCCCTGACCTGTGACTCTAGATGTTCTGGTTGGAATACACTCTCGGGCTCTCCTGCTCAGCAGTGTCAGTGGAAAAGTACGACTGGCTTTGGAGGCAAGCAAACACTCCCATGCAAAATGCCATTAATGAGTCCCGGGGGAAGGACTGCGGGAGCCTCAGGGCTGAGTCTGTGAGCAAGGCAAGTGCAGAAACAGAAAAACTGCAACAGGATGAGAGGCCAAGCAAGGTGCAGCCGGCAGCGCCGTTCTCTGGTCCCCCAGAGCGCCCGGGGTCAGTGACTGAAACCCCTGAGCAGAACTCTGATCCCCCTAACAGTGGTATATTCAAGATGGACATTTCGGAGGTAAACCGCCAGCAGTCCATGCTGACCCAGCAAGACCCGGCAGAGGGAAGGGCGTGTGCTAGGAGTGACAGCCACCGGCTGGAGCGGCCACTTCTGGCACGGTTTGCTGCCGAGGCCCATCCAAGCAGCACTTCACCGCACATGTTGCCGTGCACTCAGAGCACGTCATCTGAGCCCCCCTGAAAAGCAGGGCAGGGAGCTGTCACCCTGCAGCTTCCACTGAGCCCTCCTGACTGCCGTCGGCTTGGAAGTGTGTGCCGAGCCCAGGAAAGAAAGCGCAGACAGCGTCAGGATTGAGGATTCTTTCTCTGCCACAACTCCTCAACTGGGTTCAAAGACTATTACATATTCCTGAAAAGCTAAAATTAAACAGACAAACACATCCTACCGCTCTAGTATCTCCTGGTGATAATTCTATTTCTTAGAAGTTGTGTGTTGTTTTACTGCACCTACCTCTCTAGTTCAAAGCTGTTGCTAAGTTTATTTCATATTTTGATGTTTAAAAAATCTTTGTTTTAAATCCACAAAAGCCTAACCTTTATGTACAGTTTACAAGACCAGCAAGCAGCTCTGGACCCCGCTCCACCTCTCCCCGCCAGCCTCACTGCAAACCACAGATACAACGCTACAGCGTCTACAAGTCTCCACCGGACAGACTCGGTCCCAGACAGAGCGGACACGGGCAACCATGCCAGGCAACAGCCACCACGGCACGAGCCGCACTGGGCCTCCAGCGGGTCTGCCGTGGAGGTAACATTCCAGTGCCCACGAAGGCGCTGGAGAAGCAGTCACATCCTTGGCTAGATGATGCCGTTCTGGTGGACACGTATGCTCCATCCCTAAAAACACTAAACATAGACCAGGTATAACAGAAAACTGAAACAATAATCAAAGCATATTATTAAACACATTTGATTAGTTTTTAAAACCACTGAAACTCATTATCAGAATTAAGTAACCTACAAATAAGTGTTCTTATGAGAAACATTTTTTAGTAGCTTCTAAAACTTCCAAATCCGAGGAGGGCCCAAGGCCACTTTCACTGACCAAAGAAGGGAAGCAGCTGTCTTGCTGCGGGCAATGGCAGGCCTTGGCAGTTTCTGGCTCCCCATCTGCAGCCTCTGGCCACTGAGAGGACCCGCTCTGCACATGAGGACGAGCACGCCAGGCGCTGGTAGGACACCAGAACCTGCCCGGGGACTGCTCAGAGGTCTGACGCACTGTATCCCACCTCCTTCGGATGACAGCCATTGCTGGCTTAAACAATCCCAGAGTTTTCAAACTCAGGACTCGGATGCATAGACTCAACACACTGAGATGCTTTCCAATCTCTAAGGCCTACAATGTGCTCTACCCAGGCAGAAGTCCAAACCTCAACATCCTGGCAGCGAGTCCAGCACGCTATGGCTTCTCTGAACAGAAAGTGAATAAAGAAAGCAAACAGCCTGCTGGCACGGAGAAGTCAATGGCCCCAGGGCCTGCCCAAAGTTACGCCGACACACGTCAACACTTTTCATTGCTTTTCCCTGCACCTGCATTCTTATAAAATTTCATAATGGGGGCAGGGAGACGGCAAATCATTTACCCTTTGAATCAGCATATTTAAGCTGTCCAAATATGAGGTTCCCAAATGACAGATTGTCCAAACTGGCTACTGCAGTATTAACATTCGGGTACCTAATTCCATTTTAAGAATGACATCTCCCTGTGACTCAAAAATCTATTCTCAGTAGCAGAGCTATTCAAAGGCCTTGACAACAGTATGTCCTCCTTCCTGCTGATCTAACCTAAGACACTGACAACTCCTGGTAGGTACTAGCGAGTTCTTCTAACTTATATCTCAAACAAAACTTCAAAAAGAAACAAAAAACAACAAAAATGCAGCACCTGATAGGCCTGCACTACCAGAAGGCTAAAACTTTAATTTAACATCCTATGAGGCCAGGTTATTATTTACTTCCTCTGAAGGTATCTTTCAAGGCTACAATAGCACGGGGGAAAACGGAGTTATTTACCATGTACACGAGAAGTCTTTCCATACTTAAGCAAAGAACATTCTAGACTTAGACAAAGCTCCAGGCAGCCGTGACTTCTCCCTTTACAACTACTGACTGGTCCACAGAGTCCCAGAATTTTCTCTCAGCAGAAACACACCATCCTCCCAATGTCAAGAAGCAGACCCCAGCAACGAACAGGCCTACTTGACGGTCAGTGCACCGGTCCTACGGCCTGAGTACAGATGACCTCACGCACCTGCACCCAACTGAAGCCAGTCAGAAGGGAAGGAAATGCACCTCATTTCCACAACTCTCAGATCACACTACTCTGGGAAAATAGTTCCTGAATTACTTTTTGAGAAACTTGGCTTAGAAGAGAATTAAATCTAAATTGTTCCTGAGTTGGAGATCATTAGAAACTACCCTATGTGGTAACATCTGTTTGCAAATGAAAGAGAAATGAAGGAAACCTGCAGTTCGGTTCCTGACAGTTACTGTAAACTATTTTAGGAATAATTACAGCAAAACTCACCCCAGTGTTAAGGGAAGCTCCAGGGCCACTGAGCTGATTGTGCAAACAAAGCCACACACAGCAAGGGCCCTCCTGATCTCTCCATCCACCCTGACGTCCACCACCCTAAGCTGCCATTACCGAGGGTGAACGGCTTCAACTTCCATCAAATAAAACACATCATTAATCAAATTAAACTTTGAACAAAAAAGAGGCAGCTTCAAGGAAACGCACTCCATGTTGGGGCTAATGTGTGGGTTCTGTGAAGCGTGGCCTCCCTGGACGCCTGGCCCGGGCACCTCCTCCTCCGTCCGCTCTGGACCGCTCCCAGGAGGCTGGAGTCAGATGTTGAGAGCGGCAAAGGTCTTCACAAGGGTGACCTGCGCACTCGTGTCCGTGTCCCTCGGGCCGCTCCTGCTCTCCAGGGCTTTGTGCCGGTGCCGCTCCTCCTGGCGTTTCTTCTTCTCCAGTCGCTGCTGCTCCTTCCTCTGTCTGTTTGTGACCTGGAAGAGAAGACCACGGTGGGGAGGCGGCTGGCGCAGCTGCCTCCTGCTGCCTGCTAGAATGAAAACACTGGGCTGACCAACACAGGGCACAGAATGCTTCTCGGCAAGGTACAGAGGCCAAAACGATGAATCTTCCATCAGTGCTGAAATTCCATTTAAATGTGTATTATTATCCCCTTGCTGACCTGGCAAACAATTCAATTCTCCTGACAACCAAACCACAATGACCTCAAGAAACACAAATCCCAACGGAGCGAGAGACAATACTCCAACGTGCCCACACCCACTCCCTACATTAACTAGACACCCCACGGAACGCCAAGCACACGTCCATAGGCTCACTGCACCTTCACCTATGCCTGTGGCTTTTCATGTTACAGGGCACGTTATGCAGGGTGATTTGTTACAAGAAGTACTCAGACCATCTTGGGTAAGTCTTTAAATGAGAGCGCTCTGGTGGGCTCTGGTTCAAGTCCCAGCTGCTCCAATTCTGACTCAGCTCCCTGCACACATGCCTGGGAAACCAGTGGAAGACAGCCAGAGTGCTGGGGGCCCCGCACCCACGTGGGAGCTGTGGAAGAAGCTCCTTTCTCCTGGTTTTGGATGAATCTAGTCCTGGTTCTGTTGCCATCTGGACAGTGACCCAGCAGATGGAAGACCTCTGTCTCTCTCTCTGTAACTCTTCCAAATAAATAAATAAATCTTAAAAGCAATTAAAATTAAAACGAACTCCAAATTCAGTACAATGAAATATCAGCTACTGCTGATGGGAGTGGGGACAGTGAGGGACAGTGAGGGACAGGGAGGGACAGTGAGGGACAGGGAGGGACAGGGAGGGACAGGGAGGGACATGGACCTCCGTCTGGAAAGCGCAGGAGTCCCACGTCCACGCCCTCTGACCAGGGACACTAAGAAAATAAGAAACAAGGCAAACAAATCCCCCTGACAGACAACGTGGACTGCCACGGGGAGAGTTCCTACGGGCAGTGGGACCAGGCAGACGATAATGCTCACTTGGCCATTTCGGGGTACACTGCCTTCCAAGTGTCACGACAGTCACCCAACAGGAGAGTGAGCTCTACACAGCCTGACAGAACCCACCACCGACTCAAAAGAAACAACAGCCTCTCCCTCCCCTCAGACCTCTGCCCTTGACCCCCCTCTGCCGGGCCCCGCCCCCTGGCCCCGGCCCCCGGCCCCCTGACCCCGGCCCCGCCCCCTGGCCCCTGGCCCCCGGCCCTCTGACCCCGGCCCCCGCCACCTGACCCCAGCCCCCCAGCCCTCTGGCCCCGGCCCCCGCCCTCTGGCCCCGGCCCCCGGCCCCCGTCCTCTGGCCCCCGGCCCCCGGCCCCCGGCCCCCGGCCCCCGGCCCCCTGACCCCGGCCCCGCCCCCTGGCCCCTGGCCCCCGGCCCTCTGGCCCCAGCCCGTACCTTTGAGAGCTGGTTTTTATTTGCTTTGTGTTCTTCACTAGGGCTGGCCTGCGCCTTACTGTGCTCGCTCTTGCCATCATTTAAGCCCTGGTTTCCAAAGACTCTGGTGCCGCTGCCACCCTCCTCCCACAAGTGGCCATGCTGTGTCCGTTCTCGGCCGCCGGGCTCGAGGTTCACCTCTGCATCTGCCCAGGAGAGATTTTTATTACAGCTGAGAACTAAGAGTTACACTGTATTTTTTTAAAAATTAAAAATTGAAATGAGCTCCAAATTCAGTACAATGAAATGATGTCACCTGCTACTGGCGGGACTGGGGACAGGGAGGGACACGGACCACCTTCCTGGGAAGCAGTCCGTGTCCTGCCTGTCCCGATGGCTCCAGTGTACCTCCAGCATCCCAGGCCCCTGGCTTTGGAAGCAAATGTGCTGTAGACAAAACCCTAACGTCAAGTCAATACAACAGGACGCACAAAAGTTCTGTGATTCAGGAAAAGTGACTCAAAAAACCTGTTGCCCAGCCTTATGACCAGCTTCCCGCCAGCAGGATACTTTGTTTGCTCAAATTGCTTTGCACCATGAATATTTATGGGAAATCTTTCATTTATATCCAAAACCCAGAAAAGGAGTGGGCTCTAAAGCTGTGCTGTACAACACGGGAGCCACCAACCACAGACCGCTATTTACAGGGAAACTAATTCAAATTCAAAACAATTTAAAACGCAGCTCCGCAGCCACACTACCTCCTGTCTGGTATATCACCCATGCATTAGCACAGATCCTGGATGACCACAAGCAAGTAACTGAGGGTCTTCTATTTTTCATTTGTCGCTGTGGCTTTAAAAAGGGGTCATATTTCTAAAAGCACAGTCTTCCCTGACACTCTGCACGCCCTGAGACTGGGTCACAGGCCTTGTTGTCCACTCCTCACCCTCAAAGAACTCCTCCAGTTACCTGTTCCCACCATGCCCTCTCAACCCCTAAACCATGCTCTCTCAGGACCAGAACCAAGTTGGGGGCGTGGTTAAAATAGAAGGCACTCAATGGACAATTTCTGAATGGATGAATGAATCATCGTACAATTGCCACCTATGACCTTTCAGATAAACACTCGGGAAATCACCAACACAGTCGTCATAAACATCAGTCATGAACTTACTGTTATTTCCTCTCCCTTGGTTCATGTGAAGCATAGCAAGTATTGCAGATTCAATGTTATAATTCTCAGCTTCCAGGCGCTGGACTATTAAATCAAAATCCTATCCAGGAAATAAAGAAAAGACATCAGTACTCACACTTCCTACCTTGCTGTACTTCAACAACCTGGTAAACACAGACATAACAATGAGAACTACAAAGTTTCAGTCAAGACTTATTTCACGTAGAAAACGTCTGATTTTAATACAGCTGGTCACTTGAAATAACCAGTTAATGTTAGGAAATGAATTTCCTTTTGTACTTTCACTAAGCTCTAGTCAAAGACTAAAGGCACATATTTCTTCAGGATTTGGAGCAGAACTGAGTCAAGTCCAGCAAGGAGTCAATCAACAGCTATGACACAGCCACCTTGAATACCCCGCAGGGCTCTGGCCGTCAGGTGCAGGGTGCTGCAGGACGCTACAGAGCAGCAGGGAAATGACACACAGTGCCAGCTCATCAACCACAGCCGCACGACAGAAATACTAACTGAACATCCAGTTGCATTACAAACTTTCTGGACAGCATCTTCCACTTCATCTCTCAGGTCATCTTCAGAGTCAACTGCTTTTGTCCTGGTCTTTTCTCTTTTACTGGATTCATCTTGGTGAAGCATCTGAAACTAAAAGAAACACACAGAATAATAATCACAGAATGCTAGAAGGAAACCATGCTCAACCCTTCAACACCATCAAAAAGCAAACATGAAAACAATCAGCAGACCAGCAGGAATGACGCTGGATTTGATCCACACATTGAGACTCCAGGACACCACAGAACTAAAAAGGCGGGCCCAGGGATGGCATTAATGTGGATTCCAGATGCCAGCATCATGGTGATGACTTCAGCCTCTGGTAGCACACCTCTGTCTCAGCTGCTTTCCAAAGCTGTGGTCCCGGCAACAGAAGATCTTGTTCTATGTGCACCCCATGAGCTTTGCGAACCAATGATGGCCATAAAGAAACAGATACAACCAGAGGCCAGCACTGTGGCTCAGCAAGTTAAGCTGCCACATGCAATGCTGGCATCCCATAAAAGTGCTGGTTCAACTCCCAAATGTTCCATTTTCAATCCAGCTCCCTGCCACAGACACCTGGGAAAGCAACAGCAGACATCTGAGGCTTTCAGGTCCCTGTCACCCACATGGGAAACAAAGATGAAGCTCCAGTCCAGCCCCAGCCACTGAAGCCATTATGGGGCAGAAACCAGTGACTGCAAGATGTCTGTGTATCCTTGTCTTTCTGTCAGTGTTTCAAATAAATAAATCTCTGACAAAAGGAAAGAAAAGAAGTAAAATGCATACACTTCTTGTTTGGTTCCCAGCCCTGCGTGACCATCAGCAAGCATTAGGCACTGAAGCTCTGTCCCAGATGAAAGGCCACAAATGAACATGCCTCATCCAACCCCAGGTGCGTGCCACCACACTTGGGGGACATGTCGGTCCAAATTCTAAAGCCACAAACAACAGCCTCCAGGAGTCTAAACCAGGAAGGTGACAGTCACCTCTCCCCAGCAGCCCCGCAGCCCTCTCCTTCTGTTCCCCACTGATGCGGTCCATGGGTACATGTCAGACATCCCAATGCTCTTGGCCTGTTGACGACTCAGCGGAGTCCACCCACAAACAGCCTATGTGTCAGAATGCTGATATAAAGCAATCTCATATAAAATTATACCTTTACAATTTGGCAATGAGTTTTAACAGAGTCTTTGGCCCGGCTGTTTCACAGTTGTGGAATTTAGCCAAAGAAAATAATGTCAAACATAAAAAGGATTTATGCAGCAGTGCTCGTAACGGCGCACACTGGTGAATAACGGGAGCCACATAAAGGTTTCATAGTTCAGGTCTGGTTAAGTAACCGCTGCAAATTCACTTGATGTCTTTATTTCCATAAAGTAAAATAAAGGTTTTCATCACCATTATTTAACATCTGGCATAACACACATGTCAGCCAAAATAAAGAAATCAGAAGTATGAAATTAAACAGACATAGAAAAAAAAAAAAAAAAGAAAAAGAGAAAAAGAAAGAACACCGAACTAGGGATGGAGAGCAGAAGCATCTGCCAAGCACCAGCCAGCAGGACGAGCGCGTTTCCATGAGATGTGGAGCGCAGGTGAAGGCAGAGACGAGGGCTGGGGTCTGCTGCAGGAGCAGAGGGAGGAAGGACCACGCAGGGACGAGCCGGGCTTGCAACTGCGTGCCCGAGAGTCAGGGACCCACAGACTGCCCAGTGACTGCTGTTGTATCGTAGGGATGGGATCTCAAACTGAAAAAATAATAATTCTGTAGGACATTCAGGCAAGTAATGAGCTCACATGCAAATAATGATTAGCTAGGATTTAGAGAAATAACACCCTCTCCTTTCAATAGGGGGAAAAAACCGCTTAAGAATAAATTCAACAAAAAATGGGAAAATGTTCCCATGGATCACAAAAAAAAATTCAACTGAACAAACAAAAAGCACACCAGGTTCTGAGCAAGAAGACTTAACATCACAAAACAGTCAACTTCTCCTTAAATTAACCTACTAATGACACCACTATTTAAAAACTCAGCAGTACTTTTTTTTAAACTAGACATACAGATTCTATTTTTAAAGCAAGAACAGGTAGGAGATTCCTACAAGAAAATTTATGGGTAAAAAAAAATATTAAATTTTAATACATATTAACTGTAACAACGAGACATCAAGCAGACAGATGAGTGGGAAAAAAACAAATCTCTACAAATAAATACGCATAATATTGGAAACATAGGATCTAGGGGGAAAAAGTAACATTTGATAACATTTATTTCATATTTTATTTTACATTTTACCATTTATTTGCATCTACTTGAGAAGCGATGCCAGATCTTCTATCTGGTTTAGTCCCCACAGGCGGGCAGCAGCCAGGGCTGGGCCGGCCAAGCGAGTCAGAACTCCCCCACTGCCTCCTGTGGGCGGCGGAAGGCGAGCCTGGACGCTGACCTGCTGCCCGCCGGGATGCAGAGAGCTTCACCCGGAAGCAGAGCAGCCAGGACCCACACCGGGGGTGTCCTCCTCGGAGGCTTGACCTCCACACCCTCACAGCAGCACTTCAAACCAGCAGATAACAGGACAAGAACAGTTTGGATGCAATTAGGTCATCACAGGGAAAATAAGAAGGTGAACTGTATCCTTACCCCCTTATCTGCACGTAAATCCCAAAAGAAGCCAAGACTTCATGAAAATAAATACATAAATAAATAAACCTACAGAAGTACCAGGATAAACCATGAGAGAATTCTAACTCCTGAATAAAAAGATCTTTGTAGGGCCCAGCCTTGGCTAAAGTCCTCGCCTTGCACACGCCAGGATCCCACATGGGCACTGGTTCTAATCCCGGCAGTCCAGCTTCCCATCCAGCTCCCTGCTTGTGGCCTGGGAAAGCAGTCAAGGACGGCCCAAAGCCTTGGGACCCTGCACCCGTGTGGGAGACCTGGAGGAAGTTCCTGGCTCCTAGCTTTGGATCGGCTCAGCTCCGGCCATTATGGTCACTTGGGGAGTGAATCATCATATGGGACATCTTCCTCTCAGTTTCTCCTCCTCTCTGTATATCTGCCTTCCTAAAAAAAAGTAAATCTTTAAAAAAAAAGATTTGAAAATTTGGTGCTACACTGCATTGGCAAAGAGCCACACACTGCAGTCGGGAATATAAATTGCTAAAACCCAGAAGTAATCTGGCAATACCTTTCAGAAATCTTCTTACTGAGTCCAGCACTGTGGAGCAGAATGTAAAGCTGCTGCCTGCAGGGCCAGCAACCCACATGGGCACCCAGCTGCTCCACTTCCAATCCAGCTTCTGTCCAGTGGGCCGGGACAACAGCAGAGGATGGCCCAAGACCTTGGGCCCCTGCACCTGCCCGAGGGCCTGGAGGAAGCACCTGGCTCGTGGCTTCAGAGCAGCCCAGCTCCAATTGTTGGGAGTCATTGGGAAGTGAACTGGCAGATGGGAAATCTCTCATTCTCCCCCTTCCCGGGTCTTTCTCCCTCTATTTTAACTCTGCCTTTCAAATAACAAATATTTGAACAACAACAACAAATAAACCCCCCTCTGGTGTGGGAAGAACCTCCTGGGAGGTACACTCACACACAGGTGAAATGAGGCACCGTGTGTTGCATGCAATGGCAAATATTGTCACAAAGTCTACCAGTCACAAATTGCTTAAAACCATTAGGATGCATCCATGCTGTGGAACACAATGTGGCTTGTTCTTTTATATGTGTGTAAGGGAGAGATTACAGAGAAAGCAGGAGGGACAGAGATCTTCATTCACTGATTCACAACGGCTACAATGGCTGGGCTAGTCAGGCGGAAGCCATGAGCCAGAAGCTTCTTTTGGGTCTTTCATACGGGTGCCGGGCCCCAACCACTTGAACTGTGCTCTGCTGCTTTCTCAAATACATCATCATGGATTAGAAGCGGTGTCTGTGTGGGATGCCAGCGCTGCAGGCAGTGGTTTAACTAGCTTTGCCACAGCACTGGCCCCTATGCACCCTTTTGAAAGGAAGCAGGAAGCACCTACATGTTGTGAGGAACTGTAATGTGTGTTTCATATAAAAGACGCAGTGCAAGTATGGGAATGCAGTATGTATCAGACGCTACCACTGGGGGTGGGAGAGTGCTGAGAAGGTCACAGTGGGGCAGGCATGGGGCCTACAGTTAAGACAGCAGCTCAAAGGCCAGCAGGGTGGCACAGTGCGTTAAGCACCATCTGTGACACCAAATGCCAGCATCCCACATAAGCGCTAGTTCATGTCACAGCTGAACTTTCACTGCTAATCCAGCTCCCCGTGTGGGAAACCCAAATGAAGTCCTTGGCTCCCGGCCCAGCCGCTGCAGCCATTTGGGAGGTAAACCAGCAGATGGAAGAGCCCTCTCTGTAACTCTGCCTTTCAAATAAGAGACAGATGGACAGGCATTGGTAAAAATGTCCAGGTCCCATATATCATGTCCTAATCCTGGCTTCTGCTTATGCACGCCCTGCCAAGCAGCAGGTAATGCCTGTCTGTCACTCAGGCAAGAGACCTGGCCAGGTGCCAGGATCGGCACAGTGGCATAGTGCATTAAGGTGCCACCTTTGACGCTGGCACCCTAACAGTGTTTGTATTCCAGCTGCTCCACTTCTGATTCAGCTCCCTGATAATTTGCGTGGGAAAGCAGAGGAATACAGCCCAAGTTCTTGGGACCTTGTACCCACTTGGAGACTAAAAGAAGCTCCTGGCTCCTGACTTCAGCCTGGCCCTGTACTGACCATTGTGGCTATCTGTGGAGTGAACCAGCAGATGAAGATCTGTATGTCTCCTTCTAACCATCCCCTTCAAATAAAAAAATAAATCTTCAAAATTAAAAACAAAAGTTGGGGTTGGTACAGTGGCTCAATTGGCTAATCCTCTACCTGTAAGCAGTCACACCAGTTCATGTCCCAGGTACTCCACTTCCCATCCAGCTCCCTGCTTGTGGCCTGGGAAAGCAGTTGAGGACGGCCCAAAGCCTTGGGATCCTGCACCCGCGTGGAGACTCGGAAGAAGCCCCAGACTCCTGGCTTTGGATCAACTCAACTCTGGTTGTTGTGACCATTTGGGAAGTGAACCAGCAGATGAAGAATCTTTGTCTCTGTCTCTCCTTCTCTAAGTCTGCCTTTCCAATAAAAATAAACAAAACCAGTGCCTATATGGGGTACCAGGGCTTGCAGGTGGAGGATTAGCCTGTTGAACCACCGTGCTGGTCCCAAGCCACAAACTCTTAAAAGAAGCCAACGTTAGCTCCACGTCACATGGCTCTCGGTCTGCTTGAGGGCTGAGAACACAGCAGGAAGTCAAGGCCTCACTCACGTCTGTCTGGAGATGAGCAGGTGCTTCCGAGTTGTCGTTGATCCTCCGCACGCTGTCATAGTGCTCCCCGTAGCGATAGGCGATGTGGAGCTCTCTCCCATTGCTCTTATCTGTGCCGCGAATCTACAGTGAGAGAAGGCGAGAGGCTGCAAGGATCTGAAGAGCGCAGGCACCTCTCTAACTGCCCAGAGGCTGTTTGGCACATGACTGGCCATGCCACAAGCAACCTTTGAACTACCTTCCTCCCACCCTAGTAGGCTTCAGTGTGCTCACTTAATATGTAGTTTATGCAAGTAAATTCATACAAAAACACATTTAAAAACAAGCAACATGTTTTAAATAAACTTATGTTGCCTGCCTCTTAGTCCCTCAAATGTGTGGATCCCTTTCAAGAGGCCCAAGCACAGGGTCGGAATTCTTGAGCTTGAAGCTAATACAACTTGGGGTCCAGACAAAGAGCGCAAAATTCCAAACAGCAAACTGCTAATCCTCTCCTGTGACCTTCCCAGGAAGCTGTATAAATGAGGGGCCCGGCATATTTACAAGTCACAGTAACTTCACCTGCTATTAAAATACCTGCATTTTCCATCAGCTAAAGAAACGTCATGAGCAACAAATCCAAAGCTTCCACTTACATCAATTTCAAAACACAACAGCGACTCAGCACCAGGGCAATGTACCCCTCACAAGTACCCCTCACAAGGTGTTCTGGCAGCTGGGACCCCAGGAGCCAGCTGTCCCCAGACCACCACCACCTGCACAGAAACTCTGACAGCACCCTCACCATCTTCAATCAATACTGACTCAAAGATCCAACGCATCAGTCCCCCTTTCCGGTTCTTACTGTCACAAGTAGTAAAATACCACCGAGAACATAAACAGTATCTGCGGTCTAAAGGCACAGCAGGCCCCAGGTGATGGTGTGAGGACTACAGCAGCTCTGCTGCAGAAACCCAGGCAACCAAGTACGGCACCTGCCTGGGACAAATGCGAACAATGACCGTGCCACTCATCTCCCAGAGAGACAGGTCAACTGTTACTAGTCTCTGAATGACATCATTCCTGAAGCTGTGACACACTTAATATTCAGAATCTAAATGTGCGCTATGAATAGAAAACATAATTGGAAGACTAGTCAGCAAATTAAAAAAGACTGTCTTACACACAGCACACCTTCTATTTCTAATCAGCAAAAAAAAAAAAAAAAAGTAGGCTTCAGTATTTCCATGTTTTAAGTAGAAGCTACTATCCATAAATAACGCAAGGTTCCTGACTCAAGGTACTTGTGACCAGTGCTAGAAACCCCAGGACGAGGACTGGCTTGGCGAAGGCACCCATGGCATGCTGCTGACCAGGATGCCCAGGGCTAGCTCTGCTCTGACTCCAGACTGCTGCAAACGAGCGCCTGGGTGACGGGGGGTGGTGGCTCCGTCAGTGTCACCCTGGTCAGCCCCAGCCACGATGGCACTCGGGCAGTGAGCGACAGATGGGCGCACGCTTTCTTTGGAGCCCACATTTTCTCTCTCAATGAAGAAATAAATGTTCAAATAAAATTTCTATAAGAAGCTTCTCTGAGGTGGGAGGACATGGGGAGGATCCGATGAAAATAAAATAGTTTTAAAAATACAAGCTTCCAGTGTTCTGCAGTTAATGAAAGACTACAGCAACAAACCTGAAAACAATTTCCAACTGCAGAATGAGTAATTAAAAACTAGGCTCTCAACAGAGGAGAAGAAAGGCTACGGGGCACCTTGCTCTCCTTCAAGGTGAAGGCCATCACGTTGTACATTCTAAGTATTCTGGTGACTTCTGCTAAGCAGTATGTAAGTCTGGGCACCGAGGTGTAAGTCTGGGCACCGAGGTGTTGTCAGCTCACGGACCGTTCTCTCAGGGAGCCCCGTGAGCACACGCCAGCTCTGCCCGGGGTCCGCGTCTCGGTTTCACTCTGCTCATCACACCCCCACAAGGTGGGATTCCTCGGCAACCCGTGGCTAGCCCACTGACTTCGGTCTAGCGTAATTCTGTTAAAAAGGACACTGTGGGGCCCGGCGCGGTGGCGCAAGTGGTTAAGTCCTCGCCTTGCACGCCTGGGATCCCATATGGGCGCCGGTTCTATCCCGGCAGCCCCGCTTCCCTTCCAGCTCCCTGCCTGTGGCCTGGGAAAGCAGTCGAGGACGGCCCAAAGCTTTGGGACCCTGCACCCACGTGGGAGACCCGGAAGAGGCTCCTGGCTTCGGATTGGCATGGTATCGACCCGTTGCGCTCACTTGGGGAGTGAATCATCGGATAGAAGATCTTCCTCTCTGTATATCCGCCTTTCCAATGAAAAAAATGATGAAAATAAATCTTTAAAAAAAAAAAAAAAAGGACACTGTGGCAGACACATACTACCTACATGACATCGAGACAGGAAAAGCCCTGAAGGACAAACGAGACTGAGATGGCAAGAGGCTGGGGACGGGGGAAAGGACACAAAACAATCTTTGCTGCTCCTGTAGAATCATTCCTTATGTTGACAGCAGTGACTACACAGATGTGTTTACCAAAATCATTTAAACAAACACACATACACACACACACTCAAAAAGGCTGAACTCTGCTCCTGTGCATGCTGCCTCTATAGCTGACTTTCACTTTTTTAATGTACACAGACAGATAGCATAAGATTAAAAGGACACTGTGAATAACCTTCTTGACAAACAGCGAGAGGCGCTGTCCTGGTCCCTCACACAGCACCGAAAGCTCTCATACGTAACTGGAGAGACATATTTCTACACACAATCTAAACACATCAACATGCACAAGCCTGCACACACATGTATGCTTTAATGCTTTAAATGTTCATCTAGAGATTCTATAGAATTACTTAAATAATTTCATAAAATAATTCCATAAGGTGTGACCTCTCTGTCCCAGGATCCCCACTGAATGATTCCTGAGTAAGAGCATCAGCACCCTCAAAGACTTCTGATGTACATGCCAGTTTCATTTGCAAATGGCACAAGGATGAATCCCACACCAGATTCCGTCTCTGGTTACGTTTACAGCCCACGCTACTCTCTCCAAGACACTGGCGTTCAGTATCACAGGCCAAGCCCTATCACCTCAGCGTATCTTCAAGCTCATTTATGAATAAGAACAGAAGACAGAGTCTTGAGTAGGTGACCTACCTGCCACAAAGGGGCATTAAGCTGATGAATCACCACATTCAACTGATGATTTCTTGCAAAGGCTACGATTGCATCATTGCCAGCAAAAGTGCCAGCCTTTGCCAAACTGGCCACTGCATGGAAGGAGGAAAGAAAAACCAAGTCTTTATAATGGAAAAATTCAAATGCACACAGGATTTGGTATTTATGTAATACTAAATAACAAGAAACAAGAGTGCCTATTTGTAAAATTCTTTGGCTTCATCAGAGTGAGGAAGTACAATATACGGACGAGTCCTCAAAAAGTACTGCTCAAAGCCAGGGTCTGTTCACTGTTCCTGTCACACTGTCTGGTGCTTCCCATACACCTGGATGTGCACAGCACTGAGAAGGTCGTTACAGCTTGCGCCCATGCAGGCTTACGTGTCAGGCTCTACAACTGCAATGACTTCTAAATTTATCACTCTTTTCACTTTTATTTGAGAGGCAAATACAGAGCTCTCACTGCTGATTCCACTCTCAAAATGCAGCAAAAAGCTGAAGCAGAGTCATTAACTTAATCCCAGTCTGCCATGTGGAAGGCAGAAACCCAACCAATCTGAGCCATCCCTGCTGCCTCACCACGGTTGTACTGGTAGGAGTGTTGGAGTCAGGGACGATAGCCAGGGATTGAACAGACACAGTCAGATGTGGCACAGGGGTACCAAACGCCCAAGAGGTCATTTTAGATATGTAGGATAGTTATAACTGTACCCAGGGTCAGCAAGCCACACAGAGCTGAGCCAAGCTTGCACCTGGCAGCCTGACTCCAAAGCCCTTGCTCTGCGGCCCTTCCATCGGTCTGCCCTCAGGAGTTTATAGCCAGTGGAAGGCAAACAAGACAAACACTACTGAAAGATCAATGTTCTGGAAAGGACATGCATGCTGAAGAAACTGATCTTGCCCAGACAGGATCCTGGGAGGTGACTTCTAGCCTTATGGAATTCCCAGTGGGAACAGGGATGTCTCTGCTAATCCTGACGGGGCTTACTCTCAACCAAAACTGCTACCAGCCCATGCTAACAGCCATGTGATACCAGCCTGTTAACACAGGCAAGCAACTAATTAATCAACAAAGACTCTGGGCACCAAAGCTCGATCAGCCTTCTTGATTGACCATATTGTGTGTGTACTGCCACACACTGATGCCACTAAGATGCTATGTTCCCAGGAAAACAAATTATTCATATCTGGAACCTTCCTAGACTATTCTATGCAACTCCCTTGTGGCTAATTTTTATCTGTCTCCTCATACTGTTACGGATTATAACAGCAAAGGAGACAGATCAAAATGATGTGGTCCATGGCAATGAGACCAGTCCACACTACATGAAGACAGTCCGTGCCTTCAAGAGCCTCACAGGAGAGCACAGAGGTCAGACAACACAAGCAGTTACAGAAAACAAAGGAGGCACGTCCTGTCTTCCACTGACACAAGGAGCAGATGCAGAAAGCTGGGCTTCCTCTGACCTCTCTGGCAGGCAAAGCCACTGACACTTCCTTGTCACATTCTTACAGAGTACCAACCTTCTGACATACACGGTGACATTTCAGAACAAAACCTCTCTACTGCATGTCTGATGTGACCACCCTGCTAGCAGCACAAGGTCCAAGTCCCCTATCCTGTCCCTCGAAATCCATCCATGGCCTTCACTGAAGATGTCAGACCTCATTTGATTAGTATTTTAACTGGATCAAGGACACGACTCATCTTACATGGTCCTTAGCTACAAGCCCTGCCGCACATGCCCACGTTCCCTCTGCAAGCTGCTGACCTGCAGAGTGGCTGCTGCTAGACTATGAATGCGGAGGTTGGCTGTGGTGTGGCTGGTGCCTGATGAACAACTTCCTGGTGAGGCAGAGAAAAGGCATGGAGTCCCCAGCACTTCCTCCCAGGGATCCTCCACCTGCTGTCCCTGATCCTGAGGGTTCAGAGTCACTTTCACCCCCCGCTAACCTCCTCCTCAGTGAGTTCTGTCAGGGGCAACCCCTGTCTTGGCTTGCGCCCTTCTCACCGAAGTTGCTCAGGTGAACCCTCCCTCGTCTCGTACGGCCAAGTGGGACAGCCCTTTCAGCAGCCTCCCCTCTAACCCCCTCTCTCCATCCAATAGCACGCTGGCTTCCCTGGTCTAAAACTCAAAAATAACTCTTTTCTGGTTAGAGATGACTAAGACCAAGCTCAATGAGGAAAATGCATATTATATATTATCTATAAATAAAATAGTATCCAGGCATAGTATGCCCTCATTAAATATCTGGCGAAATTAATGTCTCAAATCTCACATATATTTTCTTACTAAATATGTGTGTATTAAGTAGGAATCAAAAGGGGCTGGCATCATGACACAGCATGTTAAGCCACTGCCTACAACATCCCACATTGGAGTGCTCCCTGCTTATCCCCCTTGGAAAGCAAGGGAAGACGGCCCAAGGACCCGAGCCTCTGCGGCCACATGGGAGACATCAATGGAGTTCCAAGCTCCTGGCTTCTGCCTTGCCTGCCCTATTAAGGCCATTCAGGAAATAAACAAGGGAACAGATGACCTTTCTCGGTCTCTACCCTCTCTGTCACTCTGTCTTTCAAATAAATAAAGCTTCTTGTAAAGAAAAAAGAATCAACTCATATCTCTAAGTGACTTGCCTTATCAGATTATTTTTAGGTTTTGGTGAGAAGTTAATATAACTTTATTGATTTTTCTGACTGAATAATACATAATCATTTGCAAATTAGCAATATTTAGAAAGCAGAGTCAAATGTTTGGTGCAGCAATGAAAACACAGATATGTTTGGATCATATCCTAGACTAGAGTGCCTGGTTCAAATCCCAGCTCTGCTTTTTTTTTTTTTTCTTTTCTTCTTTAAGACATATTTATCTGAAAAGCAGAGTTACAGTGAAAGGGAGACAGAGCCAGTCAGTTCCAGCCACTGGTTCAATTCTCAAATGGCTATCACGGCTGGATCTGGTGGACCTCCATCCAGGTTTCCAACACGGGCAGCAGGGATGCAAGCACTGCAGCATCTTTCACTGCTTTCCCAGGCATACAAGCAGTGGGCTGGCACAGAAGCAAAGCAGCTGCAACTTGAACTGGTGCTAAAATGGAATGCCAACATTCCCGGAAGCAGTTTAACCCCACGCCGTAACACTGCACCCCTACTTCCAACTCTAGCTTCCTGTTAACACACACTGTGAGCAGCAAGTGACAGCCCAAGTGCTTGAGTTCCAAACGCCCACAATGAATTCAGGCTGGGGCTTCAGCTGGGCACAGCTATGCAACTGTAGGCATTTCAGTGAACCAGAAGACACGAGATCTCTTTATCCATTTGTATTTCAAATAAATTAATTTTTAAGTTAATCTACAGGAGATAATTTAAAATAGCCATAGCCTCATCATTCCAAGATGACAAACATTATTAGGAACTTATTCTAATTCAATCGTCAAGAAATCTTACAAGAGAGGTACTTTTATTATCTTCCTTTTATGGAAGTTTAAAGAGAATAACCCAGAGCTGAAAAGTGTAGCTAACTAAAATGTCAGGCCCTTTCCAGACTTCTTCTATCATCTATGTATTCGTAAAAACAGGATCAGTCTTCCAGCATGTTTTTTACATGTCTAAAATTCCATTTTGACAGACAGAGATGAAAGAATCTTTTACCCACTGGTCCACTTCCCAAAGGCCTGCATCGGGTGAAGCTGGGCCAGGCCAAAGACAAAGCGACACCCTCAATCTGGATCTTCCACATGGGTGTCAAACACCCAAGGAGCGGAGCTGTCCAGCACTGCTGCCTCGCAGAGTGCACACCAGCAGGAAGCTGGCTGGAAGCAGACAGGGACTTCCAAACCAGGTCGCAGCCCAACCATCGTGCCACCGGCTATTTTATAGCTTTTCTCACCCCCACTGAATAGTCACACAAGCTCAAGTCAACTGACAACAGCATTTTTTTATAAAAAGCACTGACGCTTAAATCTATGGATTCCCATCTGCCCAGCACACTGGCACCTTTTACAACAAGCGAAGGCTGGAATTTAAACCCTAGGAGGAGACCAGGGATGCTGATGCACTAATCAGCGTGTTCCTCCTGAGGAGCCCACACCCCACAGCGAACCTACCATGCTTCTCAAAGGGAACATCATCTTCCACAAAGGGCTCAAAATCTTCCCGCTGCTTTATCATGTAGTCCACTGTCTCCTGTCGGTGCCTGAGATGATTTCGCGAGTGTCCCTCCAGCTGATCCCCAAGAGCTCTGAACAGGCAATTGCTGTCAAAACAAAAGTATCAGTCAAGACCTTCCAAAACTGAACTTGTCTGAAACAATGATGCCTCATGTCAGCCAGCCCCTCCGGAAGGAAAATCGTTCAGGCCCGGAACGCACAGCTTCCATGCTAACACAGGAGAAGTCAAGCTTCCATAGTAACAGTCCACAATTCTTTCCAAATCCTGGAATGGGGGGCGGGCACAAGAGCTCTTCAACCACCTGACCTTCTGGAGACTCCAAACAGGAACTCTTGCCCCCACTCACCAACTGGCTACCTCGAGAGTCACGAGAAACGTGGTAAGCCGAGCCCGTGAGATGAACTGTGTGAACACTGCACCCAGGCCTCCGATGCCCTCCCGCACCTGAGGGCTAGGGATCCTAGAGCGGATTTCTTTCTGAAACAAGTTTCACTACAGCCGCTCACTTTAGTACTTGTCCATCCAACAGAGGGCACTAAAAAGACAGCAATTTCTACTGTCCCCTAGCTCCCAGTACAGACAACCGAACTCAGCACACTGCATCCCAGGAGGACAGTGGAGAAAGCCAGAGGAAAGCAAGTGGACAGCAGGTGCACTGCGAAAACACACTTCCCCCTTACCCCTCACCTGTCTGCCACCCATCTGGTAGCAATGCCCAGATTATTCCTGCCAAATAAAAACTTTATTTACTGGGTTTTGCTTTTCTAAAATCAAAATGTCAGCAATAAACTATAAGTTATGTTTGTTTTCAAATGCCTCAAAGACATCTGAGATTCCAAACTAAATCACAAACACAGAGGCCCAGACACAGAGATGAAAATAAGACAAACACAATCTGGTACCCTGAGAACCAAGGCAGCACGGCATGCTGAAGCTAACAGCTACCAGGCTCACAACAAACTGTTTATTCTTGCAAAGGCAAAACTGTGACACTTCAATCCCAAAATACAAACTCAGCATTTCCAGAGGATTTCAGATCTCAATACATAGGAGAAAACATTTTTTGTTTTTCAACTGAGAAAAATGATTTTTTTTTAAGATTTAAATATTTTTACTGGAAAGACAAATTTACAGAGAAAAGGAGAAACAGAGAGAAAGAACTTCCATTTTCTGGTTCACTCTCCAAATGGCCATAAGCAGCCAGAGCTGAGCTGGTCCAAAGCTAGGAGCCAGGAACCTCTTCCGGGTCTCCATGAGGGTGCAGGGTCCCAGGGCTTTGGGCCGTCCTAGACTGCATTCCCAGGCCACAAGCAGGGAGCTGGATGGGAAGTGGAGCAGCCGGGATTAGAACTGGTGTCCATATGGGACGCAGGCGCTTGCAGCCAGGTTAGCCAATTGAGCCACCATGCCAGAACCAGAAAAGTGATTTTCAATAGAACATCATAGGGCAGCAGGAATTTCCTCTAATGAATAAAGATTTTATAGCCTCACCTTTTAATTTTGACAGGAAAAATGAAGATTTTTTTAAAAAATAGAGACTATAAATTAAAAACCAAGAAACTACGAAAGTCTGTGACAGGATTCTAGAAGGGGCAGGAATGTAGGCTCCACATACAGCACCGATGTGTCTGTTGCTAAAATCTAACAAGAGCAGTCATTATTTCTCAGCCGCTAGGCCACCACACCGGGCCCAAGCAGTCATCATTTTTCCACCACAGGAACAAATGTAAGGTATCAGAGAAAACGTTTCCTCTTTTCAGCTTTCCTTAAGTTAAGCATCATGCTCACTAGAGTACTTTCTGAGATGTAAGACTTAACACAAAAAATATATATTTATTTTACTTTTAATGCCTTAAAAATTCATAGTAACATGCTCACAGAGAACACCAGCAACACGGCCAATGCTGTTCAGCAGGCAGTGAAGCAGGCAGAACATCACACATCACCACAGACGCAGGCGCAGAATCAACCTGAAGCCACATGGAGACCTCTCTCCCGAGGACCAGAGCCTGTTCGGAGTCCTTCGCTTGCACTCAGTGGGCCTGGGGTTTATCACTCCATGCGGCAGGTTCTGCACCATCCCTTAAGCTCATAGAACCAGCAGGTGGGACTGCAACCCAGGGAAAACCTGGCTCCAGCCGACAAATGCCAACACCAAAACGAATTAGGGGAAACTAAATGTATCCACTCTTCTAGGTTTATCAGACAAGTCCTGCTAGACTGAAATTGATTCCTTTTCTAACTGGGATTCAGGCAGTAACACAGGAAACATGAACAGACAGTACAGTGACTTGGGTTTCCTTAGGGAGGAAGGTGCTGAGCCAGGCAGTGTTGCCCAAAGGCCTCTGGGAGATGCAGGCTGCTTGCCGCCTGCACCATCACCTCCGTGTGCAGCACAGGTTCCCCACTTGACGGTCACTCTGCTCCTCTGAGCTGGGGGAGGTCTCCAGGTGATGCAGCACGGGGACAAGCAGCCTTGGCCTTCTCCAATCAGATGCCAGCAGCACTCCACCACCTCCCAGCCACTCACCAGCTGTGACAACCAAGTCTCTCCAGACACTGTCAAATGTCCCGGGGGAGGAAGGAGGGAACGAAGCAGCTCAGCCTGGCTTCAGGGATAGAAGGTCTTGCATTTGAGTTCACAAAAACAACCAATTACACAAGCCACATCTAAGAGTTTTGGGCGTTAAATAATTCCATGAGACAATATTTGAATATACATGCCAGCAAAACATGAATGCATGATATGTTGCAACTATAAGAAATGAGAAGGAAAGGAAGGGGGAGAGGTTTTGTTCTGGTCTTCAAGGTCAAATCTCTGACCTCTAAAAGAATCCAAGTCACCGTAGTGCTATGGTTCCTGGATGCTGTGGCACTTGGCACCATCCTTGTTACCCAAATTCAACAGACACATCCTGATGAGGTCAGGTGGCATTAAACTGCATAACAAGAACAACGTGAATTGATGAGGTTTAGTTTAAAAGTACCTCGGGGGGACATGACCCTTGGCTCTAACTCTCTGCCACATGAACAGAAGATTCACTAGTACAATAAAACGAAAACTCAGAAGCTACAGACACACACAAGCGCATTCTGCTACATTAAAATAAAAAAAAAAAGGAAGACACCTCAGCACGAGTGATACACCAGACTCGGGACTGACACCAGACTCGGGACTGACAACCCGCAGGGGTCGTCTAGACCCGGGCTGCTGGATACATGAGGCACCAGCCGCATCCAGAATGCAGCTGTCACAGACAGGTGCACTACAAGCATAAAATGCTAGCTTTGGATAAGTTTGCATTTAAAAAATATAAAGCATCTCATCAGTAATTTTTATATTGATCATATGGTAGAAGTGGCAATATTCTACATAAACTGGCTTAAATACAATAAAGCTCAATTCACCTGTTCCTTCTAACTTTTTGTTTATTTTCAAGTCAGAAAACAACACAGATCTCCCATCAATGGATGCACTTGCCAAACGCCCAAGCAGTCCTGGCTGGGCTGAAGCCGGGAGCTAGGAGCCCAATCCAGCTCTCTCCCTCTTCTGACTTTCTTACCGTGACAACTAGAAAATTGGTTCACATTATATTTCTACTGGAGAGCAAGGATCTAAATCACCGATTCTCAAAATGTGATCCTGAACCAGGAACATCAGCATCACCTGAAAATTTACTAGAAAATGAAAACCCTGGGTCTCATCTATAGCCGATTGATTCACACTAGGGCTGGGGCCAAAGAAACTAGTCCATCCAGGGGTTTCTTTTTTCCCCCATTTTTACTATTATTTTATGATACAGTTCCATAGGCCCTGGGATTTCTCTTACACCTTCCCCAAACCCCTTCCCCCTCATATTATTACTATAGTATAGTTCTTCATAAACAGTCATAAGTCTATCACCGCAGGCATGGACAATGGCAGAGAGTCCAGTATCCTATTGTCAAGATATAGTTAACAGTTTCATTGGGAGTCCATCTTTGTCTGGAAGTAGAGATGCATACTGCATTGCATCTGGATATGGTAGTCTCTATTACACAGTTACTATACATCCCCTTAAATAAAAAGCCACAGAACAAAACAAGAAGAAATATAGAAACTTACAATGCCATGAAGTTAAATAACACACTACTGAATGACTAATGTGTCACTGAAGAAATGAAAATCAAGAACCTTCTTGAAGAAACTGATGCTATTGTATGATGTATGAGTCAGCTGTGAATTTGTCATTCCTCTACGGCAATTGATTCTTTTCACGTGTACATTTAAGGATCTTTTCCCTATGTTCAATTGAAGAGAGCTTAATTATCATGTGTCGTTGTGAAGATCACTTCTGGTCACCTTTGGGAGTTCTGTGCCCCTCCTGGATGTTGTTTCCCAATTCTTTCTCCAGACTAGAAAAATTTTCCCTTATTATTTCATTAAATACATTTATAAACCCAGCTTCTCTCTCTGCACCTTCTGCAACTCCCATAACTCTTATATTTGGCCTTTTAATAGTGTCTTTCAATTCCTGAATACTTGTTTGGCCTGATCCAGCTCTGCTTCCAGCTTTTTGTTTGTTTCCCCCGGTGACAAGAAATATCTTCCAGTTCTGAGATCCTTTCTTCTGCCTCTTTTGTTCTATTACTGAGACTTTCCACTGAATATTTAATTTATTTTATTGCGCCCTTCATTCCCAATAATTTGTCTTGATTCTGTTTCAGTGTTATTTCCTGTGTGACATAGTCCTTAAATTCCTGCATGTGCGTCTTGCTGTTGATAAGAAGCTTTATAACAAGTGTTCTGAATTCTATACCCTCCATTTTCTCGATGTCTTCCTCAGTTAACTCTGAGATTGGCAGGGGAGTCTTCAGTAATATTCATTGTGCCTTTGTCTCCTCTTTTGCTCTTGGTCATTGTACTTCTGGTTAGCAGAGTCTTCTCCCTAGGGTGGGTTGCTAAGCTGTGTCACCCACAGGTCTACAGTTAGATTTTACTTACTGCACCTGGTACACAGTTCTTTGTTTGCAGTCACTTGTGCCACTCCTTCCAGCAAGTTCCAGGTCTGGGTTTTTACGTTAAGATTTCCACCATGATCCCTGTAGCCCCAGCTCCTGGCTCACCACTCTCTGCTTTAATTAAATGGTAACTAAATTCACGGTGATACCGTGCTGAGGCTGCACTGTTGCCTGTACAACTTTTCCCCTACTTCATGCTAACGCGATTCCCAGGATTATGGAGACACCAGGTGTCCTATGTAACCAGGTTGTTGGTGGTGCTGATCTTGCTGGAACCTGTTGGCTGTTAGGTCTGAGAGCCACACAGGCCTTTTTGACCCATATGATGCCAAAGTTGATATTATTTTCCCTGTAGGACCAGTGCAATGCAGTGAGCTTAGTGAGTTCACTCCCAGCCCAATGCATGCACAGCTCACTGTTGTCCCTGCAGTCTTAAAGCCTTTTTTATTTTATACAAAATGGCACCTGATGTGCTATCGTTAGAGTGCTTGATCTTCTGGCCATCAGGTATGAGGGCTATCTGGACCTATCTTGGCTGGAACCTGCAGGATGCCATGTTGTTGCAATACACTGAGCCCAAAATGAGTTCACTATCAGCTTAGTGCATGTGCAGTCCTATCCCATAGCTATTGCCTCACTACACAAGATGGTGCCTGATTCAATCCACTCTGTTCCCACACTGCCTGTT